AAATCAACTCTTGCTATTTCTACAGGCTGAGTGGTAGTCAGACTGTGTATTCCATGCCTGAATGTGAGGAATCTCAAGTCAAGAAGATAAGGAGGAAAGAAATTCTAGCCAATGCTTCAATGTAATATGAAATTCTGACCAACTCTTCAATGAAATGATGACACAACTTTATATTTTACCTCATTATTCAAGGTAAAAATATCAAAGTTCGTTTTCTAATAACCTGTATTTTAGCAAGTATTATTAATCCAACGATGGATCTAAAGACAGCATCCAGGACCAATGGCCCCACTCCTGTGTCAAGCAATTGAGAAATCTGGCCTCAGGTACTGGTCCCTTCACTAAATGCCCTGCCCCTTTCCTAGACGCACTGTGCTAAACACCGGGGCGCTGCTACCTGTAGTGAAGGAGAGCATCAGGACTCTTCCTTCAACAGAGATTTTAGAAATTCATTTTTGTCTTTCATTGATATCTATTATCCTTCAGCAGAGGAAAATGAAGTTGGCCTTTAGGTTAAGATGGAAATGGGTTTTGGCAAATCGCCTCTGAGCCCATTCGCGCCCCAGCTTTGGAGCGCTCCCTTTGCGCCTATTCCAAGCCCCAGCAGACTGCAGCTGGCACGGCTTTCCACTCAGTTGCTCTCTGCCTGGCTACAGACACGGTTGCAGGCCACGTCACTCTGCTGGCTAACACACTCTTTGGACCTCATGTCATTCTTTACCTACTAGGGTGAGTTCAAGACATCTTCATAACTCAGTCACTTTGAACATGGCCCTCTGAAGCCGCAAATAAACAGCGAGAAAACCGAGGGTGGGGAAAAAAAAAAATAAAAGGTTCAGGGAGATGGCTCAGCGGAATAAGCACTTCTCTGGCAAGTGCCAGGGCCTGAGTTCAATCCCCGGTTCCGCAAAAAAAAAAAACAAAAAAAAACAACAACAACAACAACAACAAAAAACCAAAAAAAAAAAAAAAAAAAAAAAAAAAAAAAAAAAAAAGAAAAACAAACGAGGGTGGAGGAACTTGGCCACCCAATGACTCATTGAGATCTCATTGGAGAAGATAAAACTTTATTATTATTATTTTAAAAGAGAATACAAAATAATGAAAAAATAGAAATGATACAGAATGTCACTAAACAAAGTAAGAGGACTTTAACATTGGTTGTCACGTTGCATAATGCTGTCTTCAAATTAGTTGCTTAGATTACCAGATATAACCATGCAAAACTGGTAGAAAAAATTATAAGAAATTAAAAAGGAGTAGTAAAAAATTAAGCATTGATTGCTCCTTTCAACAAACCAGCACAAATCATTATCACTACAATTATTCAAGCTAATATGTATATTGCCCTTCCTTCCTTCTCTGAGAAGATAAAACTTTAATTCTGTCTCTGAGCACTGTGAACAGAGGTGGCTTCAGGCAAGTCACTTTTTCCATCCCACTCCTTGCTCCTTTACTAATGGAATGAAGAGACTAAAAGTTTGATTTTTTCAGAGGAATATTCCTAAATGGATTAATTTAGCTAAAATGAGCTGCTATAACAGATTAATTCTTAGCGGTATAGCAAAATAAAACCTTTTTTCAATGTCATCATCAGAAGAATGATTCCTGTGGCCGTTCTTGCGGCTATTCAGAGGCCAGCCTCCTCCTGTTTTGCAGGTTTGCCCCTTTTTATGTTATTGTTGCTTTGTGTCTCCAAAATGAGCTGTAGGATAAACACTCATGGAAATGATATACAAAATCAAAATAATTCACACCATACGAATTATTATCTTTCCAGTGCCAAATTGGGAAAGATCGAAAGAAAAGGGGCTCTGGTGATAGCCCAGGGTCATAGGTACCCTACCGCCATTCCGCCTGTGTCTCTTTGGCCAGAGGTCAGTCGTATGTAAGAGCAAGGCAGCCTAGGAACTATAGTACAGCTGTGTGGGAAAGAGGAAATGGGTTTGCTAAACGAGCAGCCAAGTGATTTTTTTTTTTTAATTTAATTTTTTTTTTTTTTTTGTCTGTACCCGGGATTGAACTCAGGCCCTTGTGTTTGCCGGGCAAGTGCTTATTCTATTGAGCTATCACCCTAGCCTCCAAGTGATTATTAATAAAGAGTGCAGCTTGAGCCTAGCTTGGGCAACTCATTGACTTGGTGCAATCTTGTTTCAAAGATGAAAGTTGGGCTGGGGATATAGTACAGTGAGAAGACCCCGAGTTCAATCCCCAGTACTGCTAAAATGAAACAAAGCAACTGTGCTCTTTCAGAAGGCAGCTCCTTTTTGCTGTTCATCCTATAAATAAGGATTTAAAATCATGTACTCTTGATGCAGGCGAGTAAGTTCCAGGAAGGTGATGCAGTAGTCCAATGGGAAGATGCGGTAGCTTTTCTGAGGGACGACATTCATGTGGTCAGGTTTTCTCCAGAAAGGCACAGTTCACGCCTGTGATGTCCCAGCCAGCTGGTTGGTGTCCCCTGCTGAGGGCATCTCAGCTAGGATGTAAAAGTCATCAAGCCCATCAGGGGCAGATGACGGAAGAGAACACATGGCTGTGTGAAGGTACACAACGCCGCTTCAAAAGCAGCCACAGATATGTTCCATAATGAATTTTGTCTAATTATGTCACACCTCCTTTCCTGGCCCACAGTGCCCACCACTCTTTGCCTTTCTAGTCTTTGAAGTTGGCCCTATAAAGTTGGATGCCCTGTCTTTTTTAAGTTACACAGCATGAGCAGGTAACTTTTTCATACAATTTTCCCCATCTTCTTTCTGCTTTCCACAAATCTTGAATTTTTGCATAATTGTTTTTAGATTCTATAGCCAACAGTATCTATATTTATTCCACCCTCACCTTTCTTTTTTGCCAATTCATTGCTTTTTTTCAGGTGGCATCCCTGAGACTTTGATCTCAGGAAGGGCTTTCCCAAGGAATATTTGTGATTTGTTTAAAACCAAAAATCAGAACACATGTAGTGGCTCTTGCTCGCGAAGCTCTTGCCTCCTGTGAGGAGGGAGGATCACAAGTGTGAGGCCTGCCTAGACACTCTAGTGAAATCTTGTCTCAAAATTAAAAAGGGGGAAATGAGAATGCAGTGCAGGGTGAACACTGTGCACTCAATCCCCACTGCCAGGTGAGAGATCACTGCCAGTAGAGCTCAGTGGCGTAAGAGCTCACTTAGCGTAAGACCCTGGGTTCAATCCCCAGCAATTCCACCACCACAAAAACAAAAACGAAACAGTATTCCATAAAGACTTTTTTTTTTATTTTAAAATTCTGCATCTGAAAACACAGGATGACAGAAAGCATCTATATACACCTGCAGTGTTTTTGGTATGATACAGTATTTAATACATCCACTCTTCTGCAAAAAATGTTGCTTTGTCAGACAGAAACAAACTCCCCTAGACAAAAAATACAGCTAAGGCACAATTTTGTTGTTGTTGTTGTTTTGCTAAATGAAGACAGAAAAGGTGCAGAAATGGGCAGATAATGCAGTCGTTTCTGAGAATCACATTCTATCTTGAGGAAAAGCACTCAGATGATTAGAACTTTGATTACTGGTCAACTTCAGATAGTTCAATCTCTCTTAAAATACTCCTTTAAATAAATAGCAAAATATCTACATCTTTCAGTGTGTGCCATGTGAACTTTCTCTCTTTTTAAAACTTTATATACAGAGTCTCTTTTTTAAAATCAATACATTACAAAATATTTCTGTACAGTTTTATGCATATTATGATCTATAACAAAATAGTTATTTTTAAAAACTATATCACCGCATGTCTTTGAAAACAATGAAGGGGACAGTAATAATTTATCATGAGGCCTCTAAAACAAATGCTATAGACAACATGATATTTTTAAAAAGACAGAAAGGTTACAAAGACGATTGCGCTCAGTTCCAGTGAATTTCCTATGGAAACCTGGGGGTTGTCTTTGGCCTCCTCCAGTGCTGGGATGACTGACGGGTGAGGGTGGAGTCTGGAGGCAGGGGGTGGATGGTCCCTGGGAGAATCCGACCCATCCACTGGGAAGAGTTAATGCTGTTACTTTCTGGGCAGAAAGGACGAAGAGATAAATTGGGAACCTCTCCTGACGCACTCTTGTTGAAGTACATGAAGTCACCGGTCTTGGGGGGAGGGGAGGTTTGGAAGGCCAAGCCGGCGAGCACCCTGCTGGTAATGAAGCCAGCCCCTCCGCAATACTGTATAACAGTGCTTCAGGAGTCTTCCGGGGATCATGTGAGCTCTCAAGCCTCATTTTTGCCCATAGGAAAAACGGAAGAGCATTTTTCTTTAAGATGACATTTGTAAGCAATTTCTACGGTATCTGCAAACTAGAGATCGGCAGCCTCTGACTCGGGAGGCCACCATGAAAAGCTGCGAGATGCTCTATTCTTCTGGATAGTGGTGAAAATCAGAGGGAGAGGACATCAGCTTTCCAAAATAATGTTAAGGCCACATTTCAAAAAGGAGAAACCTAAGGCTTTTTTTTTTTTTTTTTTTTTTTTTTTTTTTTGAGGGTGGGGGTAGGAGAAGCAAGTTGGAGGAAAATGCAGAACAGAAAAGACAGTGTTGGGAACAGGTAACAAGGTGTGGACCTGATTCCGAGGGGCGCCTGTAGGCAGAGGCAGTTGGAGCATTTCCAGTCAAGAGGGGAGAGAAGAGAGGCCACTTTCTCCCTGTACGGGATTTGGCAAGAGCTGAACCAAAGACAAGGGATGGGTAGACACGGGTGGTGCACGAAAGCCCTCCTCAGTCTTGAGAGGGTCCTATACAGTATCTTGTTTGCAAGGTAAAAAAAATAATACTTCTAGATTAGAGAAAGAGATGGGAGGAAAGGAGAATAGAGAAGAGAGAAAACAGAGGAGAGGGAGAGGGAGAGGGAAGGGAGGGGATGAGAGAGAGGAAGAGAAAAAGGGAGGGAGGGAGGGAGGGATGGGTAAAGGAGTGGAGAGAGATAGGGAGAGGGGGGGAGGGAGAAAGAGAGAGAGAGAGGGAGAGAGAGACAGAGAGAGAGAGAGAGAGAGAGAGAGAGAGAGAGAGAGAGAGAGAGTTTGCATAGATTGTACATTGAGCTCCAGCAGGCATAGACACCTTCACTCCCCCCAGGTAAACTTCTCAGCAGGACACAATGAGGTAGCGCCTGTGGTTGACCTATGGGCAAAGTTAGGTAACTGAGGCATAAGCAAAGAGAACATCCTGTGAACAAACATAGCTCTGCTTGGTTTTGGAAGAAGCTTCCAGTGGCAGAATGATTGCCAAGACGAGATGTGTGGAGTCTAGCTGTTTCACTCAGTATTCCCTTATCTGGAACCCTGTCCTTGTCATTTCTGCCTGGCATGTAGGAGTTCCGGAGGTGAGAACCCAGGTACATAAAGACCTCTGGATGTCTGAGGGATGACACCCCAGACCTCCAGACTGCATTTATGTTGCCTTTCAGCACACACTGTCTTGGGCCCATGAGAGCCAACAGAACAGTCCTCCTGGGTGGGATGGCTCTTGGGAGGGGAATGATTTGTCACAAATTCCTGTTCTTTAAAAAATTCAAGAATCAGCCTTTTGCTTTTACTTGTGTTGCCTCCTTCCCTCTGTTCCACTGGGCAAGACCTCACCCCATTCGAAGCCATCTCTCCAGAGAGCATAGTTTGCAGGGCATGCATAAATGGAACTATGGGATCCTTTTCTCACACTGTTAAAAAAATTGCGACCATTGAAAGGTCCTATTTTTTGTAAACATAGGTTTCTGCTTCACTTACCAAACTGGAAGATGCAATTACAATAGGCTTGTGTCCGTACATGCAGTGACAGGCTGAAACTGAGCACCAGCTGCTCTTTCCCATTGGATCCCACACGTGTCAGTGGGACCACAATCTGCACCACTCCCTTTGCCTTGCACCAATCACTTCAGCCATTTGTTTAGGTCCTGCACCTCAGTAAGCACTCATGACTCCTGTTACTGAGTGGTCCTTTGGTCTGGAAAACCTTCTTTGCATGCTCAAAACTTAGCATGCCAGTAGCGGTTTCTAGTGCACTTCCCACCTTTGAAATGCTGCTGGAGAATTAGTGCCCCAAACTGTCAGTGAACTTGCTTGTAAAAGGCAACCTTCCTCATGCCCAACACCTGAAAGTTACTGCTCTTGTCTATTCTGTACCTTCTTGGCAGAGATCAGTTCTAGCCAATGTCTTCCTCATATATCTGCAAACTAAGGATAAGGGAGAAGGGTCTTCGTATATCCTGGCCTGTTTCTAGAATAGTGATAAATCAACCCACTGGGGTATGGGTTGTGTGGTCTTATTCTTTCCAAACTCTATATGAAGTTTCAAAGTTAAACCAACAATGCTAAATAATGCCAGAAGGACTCTTGATCCTTTCAGAAAGGCTTTTTCCATAGCAGGAAAGAGTATACTTCTTAAAGCAAAGAGGCCATGTGAGATTGCTTGCTTCCTCTCTGGGGATATACTGCTTGGCACATGACTTGGGAAGTGAGATTTGGAAATGCTGTCTACCTTCTGAGATTCCTTCCTGAATGTCATTCACTGGTTGAAGGAAAAACACAGATAACCAGCATCTAGGGATATCTCCTTTCCTCTGCAAGATGACACCCAAGTCTTCCATCTTAGCTTTCCAGAGACTCTAGGGATCTGGTCAGTGGCCACCCATCACTTGAGCCTCTACAGGCAGTGATAGGCTTCCCCAAGAGGATGGCTCCCAGGGATTCCCAAGCATCTATGGCTCAAGGATGCCTGACAAATGGGCTCCAACTAATAAGTTCTTATCAGGCAGACATCAAAAATAAAAACATTAACACTGTTTTTTCTGAGAAACATTGATTTTTCCCAAGTCATCCTCGGTGTTGTTTGGAATTCTCTTCTCTTATCAAATGCAACATCTGCAAAGTTTTTCTCTGGTCAACAAACAGAGAAGACAATGGAATACTAATGTGACTCCCCAGCTCCCAGCATTCCCAGTAGCCACAGCCAGCAGTGAGGAGGGAAGCCTTGGGTGAGGAGGGTGGTCCCCATAGTAAGTCACATGTGTAATTCCTCCGCTTGTTCTAGGATGAAAAGCAGAAGTCAGAAATGTCAGTGGGTGAGGAGGGGCCTTGGCTTGGAGTCTGCAGTTCCCACTGTATGCAGGCACCTACCAAGGCCAGGCTCCTGAAGTCACTGATCATAACACTAGAAACAGAGACCCAAAAGCTGGGCAAAGAAGTGGGAGGGAAGTTTCCCAGGCCTCAGTGGCCTCGAAGAAACCCTGACCAGAGGCAGAGGCTGGGTGCCAAAAGAAGATATGGCCCTGGACTGGTGGTCTCATAGTTTGTAAAATCAGTTAGAGACCCTGTAGACTTACTGAGAAAGCTGCTCTGAGGTCCTGGAATTCACTGTGGATAATAGCTGTCTCCTAGGCTTTCCTGGCTGGGTCCCATGACCCTCTTCCCCCTTGGAAGGAGCCTGATTCCCTCTTGTCACTGTCATGTTAAGACTCATGGTCAGGATGGCTATGGGAGTCTCATGTGGACCAAGCAGTTCCATGCAGCTCTCTGCAGTCAGAAGACCGCCCCATCCCAAGGTTTCTGCCATTACATCTCTATGCTTGGATGGGGCAGGGCCAGTAGAAATCCTAGCACTCTTGCACTTGAGTGGGTGGATGGGGCTAACACCCTGCATAAGGAAAAAGGAGGCTCCAGAGGTCCCGAAGGCACCTACTTCATGCTGGTAGAAGAGTCCAGCTGAAGCTTTCTCATGGTGTCCAACACCCCTGCATTATTCTGAGAACAAGGAGTATGTAGGGATGACATACAGAGACAGAGACAGAATTAGAGATAGACAGAGACAGACAGACAGACAGACTAGGGATGGGAGGGAGGAGGAAGGGAGCCTTTTGTGAATAAAGGCAGCTTTAGTTAGTAAGATAACATAAATGACAAGCTGCAAAAACAGCACCTACTAATTAGTCATTGACTAAAACATATTAAATAAATATCTAGTGTCCCTTTTCTGTGTCCTCCATTGCCAATGGGACATCTTGCCTTGCTGGGCAGTAGAGGGCAGCACAGCAGACAGGCCACTGAGGTGGACCATAGTAATCTGTACCCATACTGGGGAAATGCTAAGGACTGGCTCACGTCTGGACAGGTGCGACTTTTCCCAGGGATCCCTGTCATTCAGGGGATATGGAAGTCAGGAGGGAAGGGGTGCTATCAGGAAGGAGCCCCAGACAAGTAGGAGGTGACTCATCTGGGGGACGTGGGAAGGAAACCCTTTAGTTTTCTGGCAACTCCAGCAATCTGAATATTTAAACAAATATTTAAAGAACCTTTAGGAACATTTTTAAAACTCAGTTGTTTTTATGTTGCATGAAGGGCCTGCTGGCACCTAGAAAAGGAAGGATATGAAATTGAGAACCAAATCTGAAATGTTTTCTGCTGGGTGCAAGAGGTGTGGTCCATGGGTTTGGTCACTGCCAACAGCATCAAATGTGCGATCCACGAAGGCTCTGGAGCCTGACTTCAGTACAAAAGGGCTCTGGCAGATGGTGGGTGTTGCTGTGCTGTCTGTCTCAGGAGCTTCCTTCCAAGCAATCTCTTGTTAGTTTCATGGCCACGCCTCCCAACACTCCAATTTTCAAGGACCAAAGAGGCATTCTCAGTTTTTCAGCCCAAGAACCATTTGGAGACATGAGCATGACCTCATCTTTACTGCCACATGTAGCAGCCTGGGTGCTAGGTGGCCTAGCCCCGTGGACAGCTGGCCGCACATGCCCAAGTACACCTTGGTCAAATGGCTTTCTTGCTCTTCTAGTTATCAGGAAGAAAAGCTCAGTAGGAGAGAGGCTGGTGGGAGGCTTGGAGCCCTCCCCAACCTGCCACCTTCCTGGGGGAGGCCTAAGCCTGTGATCTTTTGTGCTCTGCTGTTTCAGAGTGGGCCAGGGTTCTCAGCCATGGAGCAGAGAGATAAGCAGAAGGGCAGCTGGAGCTCATACCTTCCGTCTGGGCAGTGGTTGTCACACTGGGTTGTTCAGAGCCCTTGGGTTCAGGAGAGGGACCTAAGGGGATGCCCTCTGCACAAGGACCTCCAGTGGGGTGTTTTAGAGGAGGGCTTTTCAGCTTCAGCCACAGCAGCTTAGATTCTACCTGTACCTTGAATTTCTACCTACCACCAAGGTGAGTAAACAAAGTTCTGCTGCTGAAAATAAAAGTTGGAGAATCTCTTGTGTTGGGGTGGAGTGGGGGGGCAGGTACAGATCACCGCAGGGGAAGTCAGGAACCTGTAGGAGTTGAGGGTCACCCATGGTGCTGGCACTGAGCCATCCCCACCCCAGAAACCAGATTGCCAAATGCAGGCTGATCCATTCTGGCCTTCAAACTCACCTCCTCCACCGTCCTACAGCCAGGAGGTGAACCCGAGAGCAAAGCCAGGCCTCAGGGCCCTCTGGCAGTCTTTTTGTTGAGATTGTGCTGTGGTCCACACGTGGCCAATGCTACCTGAGCCGGCCATCAGGCTTGACTGCCCCCAGCTCTGACTTGGGGTCAGGACTGAAGGAGCTCCAGGCTGTGTGACTGCAGGCCTGCATGACAGGACAGGAGGTAGGACCTGTGGCACAGATGTCCATCGTGGTCCACATCCTGCTCACTAATGAGTCCAGCCAGCTCTCCAGTGCTGTGCCTGTGGAGGCTGCATTTCTCCGAGCCTGCTCCACTTGGGCAGGGATTATGGGCAGGCTGAGGACCGGATTCAGGCTCTGGAAACTCTGCTCCATGTAGGCACTGCGGAGGGGCCCATTGTGAAGCCTCAGTGCCTCCTCTGAAAGCCAAAGGGAATAATGATGAGTTTAGAAGAGCTATTAGCTGGATACCCACCTACATACTGTGTACTTGGTGCTGCACTGGGCACTGTGTATCACCTCTTTTAATTCACACAATAGTTTCACGGGGCATGCTTTTAGCAATATCATTTTGTAGGTGAAGAAACAGCTTGCCAGCACAGAAGTCACTTGTGCAGGGCATAGTGCTTCCTGTATTCATTCAGTACCTATTTATGGAGCCTCTGCAGAGGTCTAGACACTCATCCATTCGACAGTTTCTCTTAAGCATCACTTTGTGCAAGACATTCATTCAACACATACTTATTAAACATTTATTATTTACAAGACATTTGTTGATTTACTTAGTGGGTATAGATATATGAAATGCCTATTATTAGAGATGGCAGGCTCCATTGTAGGTAGTGGAATAAACTGAAATGACAGCTTATGTTATAATGGTGGCCAAGAGCTCAGTCTCGGTGGAGAAGCATCCCCTCATGCCTCCATTCTGCAGAGGATGGGAGGTGGGGAGCTGTGCTCATGCTGACAAAATGCAGGACATTCAGCAGGAGCTGCTAACATACATTCAAAGCTTGGGAACAAAATATTGTGGTCGCTGCAAAAAGACTCATGAAAAATGAGGTTAATGTGGGAAATGCTGTTACGGTATCGGCTCATGATGCTTGCCTCTATAATTAAATTTTCTTCAATTCCACCTCATCAGATTTCTTGAGATTACCAGGGACGCATGAATAGCAAATTACGTGTGATGAATCATTTTACAAATTGCACTGCTCCCACCTTCATGTTCCCAGTCATTGGAACATCGTTAACAAATACAATTACTGACAATGTCGGGGGGGGTGGCCTCAAAGGGTTAGAAGGACCCCTGGATCTTCCTGGCCATGGTAGGTAAAAGCTTTTCCTTCTTTTGAAACTGTGGAGGAAATGCTGGGGAGATCAGGTTTCCACGCATGGTCCCAGGGTACTTTCCTATGGGGGTGGACTCGGGGATGGCTCTATTTTCTGTCCTATGTGTGTATCTGAAGTAAGGAAGCTGCTGTCTGTCTTTTCATCCTTGTCCATCACATCTGGCTTTAAGGAACCTGAGGTCCTTGGGAGCACTGGAGGTGCCCCTGATGAAGGAGACACCTGAAGGTCTTATGTGGAAGGCTCTGGCCTGGCCAGCACCAGAAGGCCCCTTCTGTGTGCTTCGTAGGGGAGCAAAGGAACAGGTTTCATCTCAAAGAAACTTGAGCTTCCTATCTGTAGATTTGCTTAGGAAGAAGACTTGGTGAAAGCTGTCAGGACTCATATCAAGGTTCCCTCTTGTGGGACATCTGTGTCCTTTTCTCCTGTGCCATTGGCAAAATGGGTGGCTCAGAGTTCTTCCTAGTTAACAGAGATTGCAATGTGTTTCACACTTCTGAGCTTGTGACTCATTTGGTGAACAACTGGGAGAAAAATTTGGTCTGTGTTTCATATACACACATTGCTTTTTCTTGTCTTTATCCCCCAAACGATGCAATGTAACAACTACATACACAGCATTTACATTGTATTAGGTAGAGATCACTTAACGTAAAGGTAAAGGGGTGGAGAGGTTACATGCAAATTTATGCCATTTTCTACAAGGGGCTTGAACCAACGTGGATCTGGGTATCTACAGGAGGTCCTGGAGCCTGTTTCCTGAAGATAACAAAGGATGACTGTACTGATACTCAGAAATTCCATTATTAGGAGTCTCTTTTATGGATGTACCTACTGGAGCACATGCAATTTCATGTCCAAGAATCTTCCTGTAATAATATCAGCAACAACAGAAGCAATGTGTCCACCAACAGTGGGACAGGCAGACTGTGGAATTCCACGCAGCTGGGAGAGTCTGGACACTAACTTAGAGAACAATGTAAGGGAGTTTCAGCAAAGAATGTGTGACCTTATTTCATTTTAAAAAGCAACGAAGTCCCTATGACTTGTGATGTGCTATGTGTTTGTTTTCAAAACACAGAAACAAATTTAGAAGGATGCGTTCCACATTGTTAGCAGTAGTTGTTTCTGAAGGTAGAAGTGCAGCAGGGAAAAGGTTGTTTCCCTGATAAAATAATGTGGAGGAGACACAGAAATACAAAAATAAACCCTTTTGGATGGGGAAGAAATGCTAGAAATCTGGTTGGCCTCTTCCTATCCTTCCTGTCCCTTGAAGACCACTGTCCCGAAATCTGTGTTCCCTTCTTTCCCTTACAGTTTTCTATCTACACAAGGGTGGCGAAATAATATAATATATTATTGGTGATTTAATGATATATTTACACGGTCTTTACATTGTACTAGTTGGTTTTTCCTTGTTTTGAACTTCAAAAACATGTGCCCTAATTATGATTTATTCTGTGATGTTTTTTCCCTCCTCAACATCATATTTCAGGGATTCTTTGCAGGTGCTATCTGTGGCTGTATTTCGCTGATGTCCATGCTGCACAGGATGTTATTGTACAAAGAGACGACAAGTGATCCTTGCACACATGGGACATTTTCATTGTTTCTCATTAGGGTTTTTGCGAGCACTTCTGCAGGGTCTGTTCCCGGGCAGGTCTCTAAGGACTAGAGCGGGACCTCTGTGTGCTAAGGGGCACACATGTCCAGCCTTACAAGAAGGTGCTCACTGACTCATCCTTAGACTTGTTTCATCTATTTATCCTCCTCCCAGGAGACTGGTATTCTTAGTATTCTTAGTCCTCATTAACGTACAGTACTGCCCAAGTTTGGTATGTTTATTTTCCAACATGGCAGGTATAAAGTAGGACCTCTTTTTGCATTTAGTTTATACTTCTCTCATTATTAATGAGGGCAATCAATTTTTTTTTTTCATTTTATGTATTTGGTACAGGGTCTCACTACACAGCTTGGACTTGAAGTGATCCTCCTGTTTTCAGCCTCCCCAGAGCTGGGATTACGGGTGTGCGCCACCACGCCCAGACTCTGGCTCTGGCTCAGCAAACCCGGGGGCGGGGCCAGCGCAGCATGCGGGATTGGGAGGGAAATCAATTTTTACATGTGTGGACCATTCATGTTATCTCTTTTTCTCAATTTTTTAAAAAGCTCAGGGATTGGCAATCTTGTTTTTTTTTTTTTTTTGTAACGAGCCCGATATACATTGTTTTCTTCATAAACCATGCAGTCCCTTTCACAGCTATTCAGCTTTGCCTCAGTAGCAACAGGAGCCCCACAGTAGAACCAGTGCCATGTAAGTGAATGAGCATGGCAGTGTTCCAATAAAGCTTTATGTGCAGAACCCAGCAGCGCTTGTGGCTTGTACTTTGCCTGTCTCAGATTTATGGGATTTCTTTATATATTCTGAATATGAATTTTTTTGAATAGCAACTATCTTGCACTAGTTTCTCTTTTTCCTCGGGGTGTCATATTTTTAGTGAACAGAATCCCTATCTTAATCCTTATTTTCTAAACAGTAAAAAAGACTTGCTGAGCTTCAGTGCCTGCCTTGTATTATTTCTCATCTTGCCTTAAACACGGTTAGGCTCCTCTGGCTGTCCCGTGGATGAGCATCTACTACATAGGATGACGATGTTACCCCAGGGTGCGGGTGGGAAGTTAGATGGTCCTCCAGGGTAAAGAAGTAGGAGAAAGCTCGGAAAGGGGGGCTGTCCTTCTGCCAGGCAACCACATGCTGGACATGAGGGCGCCTTGTCTGCTAGGCTGAGGACACTGAGGTCCCTGTGGAGAGACGCTGTCCCCTGCAGAGGCACTGGGAGTACTCACCTGGCTTGATGGACTGCCTGTTTGAGAAGGTCAGAGGTGCGATGAGGAACTTGGTCTCAGCCACGGGCACCCAGTGGTGGAGGATTTTCACTGTCCAGACCCCAGGTCTCAAGGGTAAGTTCAAAGGGGGCTTGTAGTGGGTGAATTCTGCAGTGGATTCAATCAGGATGTCATAGGTGGCTGCAATGACATTAATGGGATCCACCCAAATGACAGTCACGGTCACGTTGGGCCCTTTCCCCCATTTCTGCATTCCGACTGGCTCATCCATGGGCCCCAGGAGACCACCAAAGTTTCGGAAGAGCCGCTCCTTGGCATCCCAGTCGGTGCCAACCTGAAAGAGAGAGTCAGTCATGAGCCCATCGGGCATGGCCTTGGGGGCTGAGCCCACAGAGGCTGAGGACTCTGCTTGCAAGGTCTCCCTTCTACAGGCATTTCACAGGTGAGGAGACTGGTGCTTCTGTTGTCACTTACTCATGACTGTATGGCTGGTGAGCAACAGACTTGGGATTGGGCCCAGTCTGGGGAAACATGAGGCCTGTGGTCCTTTGACTAAATCACTGGGTTTCCTGTGCCCATATGTGGTATGTGTGTGGACACAAACCAACAAACCCCAAACTATGCACGGAATACTCGAATAAGTGGATACCAGCTTGCAGGCCATTCCAAGAAACACCTCTTGCCATGAAACAGACAGGCTGGTTTCTGCCTCAGTCCTCTGCTTTCCGAATCACACACTTGCATCTAGTATACTGGAACTGAACAAGAATGCAGCCCACTGTTGGAGAATGCCATCAGAAGCTGGGACTTCCAGCGGTGCTCCTGGAAAGATCCAGCTCTGGCTTTCCCAACTCACGCTGTAGCAGGCCCTAGGGACATGAGCTGTCCATGAGGCATCTTCCTCACAGGCCAGCTGGGAGGCTGTGTGGCTTTGCCTCCCAGGAGTCTCATCTCGGCTTCCGTCCTTCCACTTTGTTGCCCGCAATGCACTCTCCACGGGAAAGTCAGAAGTTGCTCGCTCACCCTCTCGCCAGCCCGAGATTCCTCGCACACTGAGGTCAGCACTATCCCACCACAGGTGGTGGCTCAGAGCCCTTGCTTGCCCCTCTAAGTTTCCCACTCTGTGCTCCACACAGCAGCCCCTCAGTTCTCTCCCAACACAGGTTCCTTCTCTGTCTCTTCTGCTGCAATATCCCTTGTCCTTCCTTCCCTTACTTGTGGCACCTCCTTGGAGTTCTCTGATCCCCAAATCAAGAGTGACCACTCCCTCACTCTCTATCATTCCTGCTATTTCATTTTCCTTCTACCAGTGGGACCAAGCACTGTCTTCCAGCTGCCACCTCCTCCTAATAATACATCAATCTCTGCATGAATGGAGCCTTCCCACTCTTCCATGGTGCTTACTAATGGTTCAGCATACAGTAGATGCTCAAGCAATGTCTATCCAAGGAATGAGTGGATGACTTGATGAGAACATGAACTACACAGATGACCAATACTGAGCTCTGTGGCTATGTCAAACCAAATCAAATGAGAGTTTTAAATGGAGAAAAAATGACACTTGGTTACAGGAGCACTAACCCTAAATGTTGAAGTTCAGTGAAGCAGCAGGCACCTTGGTGCAGATGGTGTGTGGTGTGGGTAGGCCCTGGCTCTCCCATGTCTGTGTGCCCAGGGTGGAGGTGCAGGTGGGTGTGCACGCCCACCTGGGAAGCTGGTAGAGTCCACTGGAGATGGGGATGCTTCCCTCTTTCCATGTCCTCCCCTTGAGTTGCTCCACATTAACAGCTAAGGGGGCTGACTGGGCTCCAGGCAGAATGGAAAGCATGTGGTGGCCTCAATTCCTTTACTATCCTCAGCTCCAAGAAGGAGAGTCCTTACTACTCTACTCATGGCATAGATGGAGAAACCAAGAGAAGGGATTCGTGATAAGGGGGCAGGGGAGGGGACGGATAACTCTCTAGGACCTTGTCATGGGATTTTCTGAAGAGACAGAAATGAGCAGTTCTCTAAAATCTGAACTCTTAACTGAGAACATGGGAATGGTGTTTGCAAAGCAGTGGATGAAACAACTTGTGCCTGGTTTCTAAAGTGAGGAGCACAAGGAGCAAGTGAGTTACTGGTGCGGTCACCCTGAGACACAGCTCTCCTACTATCACAGCCCCTGCAACCACTGAGATCTTCTCCTGCACATGGAGTCAGTATGGGCATCCATAATTACTGCGAATTGATCGATTACTTGAATTTAAATGTGCTGGAGTTTATGTTCGAGCCACACACCACTTCCCAGCTCCCAACCCACTCAAGTCTCCCACTGCACTTGAAAGACAATCTGAACATCTTTCTAGGGCCTGCAAGATCCTGTGCCCTGTAGAGACCTAGTGCCCAGCTGATGCCCTCTCACCCTCTACGCTCTAGCCACCCTGCCCTTGCTGCTCCTTGCGTACTTGGCCTCCTTTATGGAGCCTCAGGGCCTTTGCACATGCATTCTCCTTGTTCAGAATGTTCCGAGTTTCCCCATAGATGACTCCTTTACTGGTTTCAACTCTAAACTGATATCTTCAGGAAAGAATGAATCATCCTGTTTCAGGTAGTTTCCATTAACCTCCCAGGTCTTCAGCAATCAAATGAATGGCGTTTCATCTTCCTTGTAACCCCCATCATTAGCTGATGTGTTTTTATCTTGGCTGGCTTTGCCACAACACTGCACTTCCATGAGAAGAAGGGTTTCCTCTCTCCTGGTCACTGCTGCCCTCCCAAACATTACTTGTTGTAGGCACTTAGTGGCAGCCTACAGGAGAATGAGCTTTTTTTCTCCACGCCAGTGGCATGAATTGCCATGGACTGGGAGAGCTATCTGAGTTGTTTAGCAACACTGCCACCTGAGGGCACTGTGGCAGGGCCCAGAGGGAGTGCTGAGCCTGGAGAAGCTCCACAGCCAGCGAAGGGGCCTTGAAGTTCTTCCCTCTATTCTTTACTGTTGCTGGTAGAAAAGACTAAAACTAGAAAAAAAGTCTCCAATACGGGATTGAGGCTCTGTGCATTTTGTGCTGTTATTTCTGCCAGCTATATTACTGGTTCTCCCACCAAGACTACTAGAGGCATAGTAGGAGTCCTCACAAATTACTAACCATGGAGTGGCTACCAGTGCCTGTCACCGCTGTAGGTACCCAGTCACCCAACAGCAGGCTAAAAAGCAGGCAGAGCTCAGATACCCAACATCCATCTCTTTAATGGGACATTAATGTCCAATGACTGCTCGGGCCTCCAGCCCAGCATCCAACTGGGGCAGTGTCTAATTACCCCTGACACCAGTAATTTATGGAGTGGGCTTCCTTAGCAGCTCAAAGCCAGCCAGTCCATTGGTGCCTCTATTGAAAAGCTTGCCTTAACAAGAAATTCTCACTCATGCCTGTTTGACATGGGAACCCAGACAGTGGGGAACAAATCAGCAACACAAGACCACTGGTAGCTAAAGGTGGACTGGCAAGGAGAATCTAAGTAGGCAAGAGTCTCTCCCTCGCCATACTCCCAGCCTCTCAAGTCTCTGCACATTCTAAAGTTAGACTCTTCATTCCTAACTACCAATTCATTGAGAAAAATCATTTCTCTATGATTTAATGATTCAGGGAAGGCAGGAGTCAGACCCTGGAGTTCCACACACACAGTACTCCCAAGATGAGGCATGCTCCTCCTTCCTCCAGGGTGGCCACCCAAGTTCATTCACTCATTCATCTAGCCGTTATATTCAGGGTCTAAAATAGCATGTCCTTTTCTACAAATGGCATATGCTTTCCCGTAAATGATTTTTACAGGAAATGTATTCCTGGGAATACAGCACTGAATAAGAGATGTACAGCTCTAGCTGTTTTATGACAATTATTAAGTGATCAGATAAATCAATAGGATAATTCTTAGGTGGTAAATATTAAAAAACTCATAGGGAAGTGGCAGGTAGATAATGTCATTATTTAGCCTAAGTGGGATCCAGATAAGGCTTCTCTGAAGGTGCATCATTTGAACTTAGACTAGGATGACCAAGAATGAACGAAATAAAGCTACGTGACAACCTGGGAGAAAGCATTCTAGGAAGGGGTCAGCACATGCCATGGCTGAGGCAGGAACACATACAGTTGTTTGAAAAAAGCATAAGAAGTGCTTGTACATAAGGAGGAGATGGTCAGGACAAAGCTGGAGAAACAGGCGCCAGAATATATGGGACACTCTTGGCCTAGAGGCAGGGCTGACATTAAAGGGTGGTGCCAGGTAAATCCATTTCTCTAGCTAGAATCATAAGTAAAAGTCAGGGATAGGGAAACTCTGTGAAATCTTTCATACATACATATTTCTGCTCATTCATGCATCCATCAGTCTATCCATGTATGTAATCATATGTCCTTGCATGCATCTATTTATCCACTCATCTGCTCATTCATCTATCCACTCACAATCCACCCCTCTACACACCTATCCATCCATGCATCTATATACCCAATGCATCTACCCATCTAGCCATCCATCCACTCATTGACTCCTGTAGTCAGTGATTGATTTGGAATTTATTTTGAGGTAGGTTCTGTACTAGGAAGTGGAATGACAAAGCACAAGCACAGTGTTTATGTTCCTAAAGGTTTAGGATCACTTTAGAGATCTTCTAATTCTTTGTTATGATCTAGGAAATCATCAAATCTCCATAAGCTTCAATCCTCCAATCTGCAAAGTTGGACTGATGACACTGTTTCATTAGGAAATTGGCTTGCTATGAACACAGGCTTGGGTAGAGTCACTGACTAGGATGAGAATTTAGAAGAAGAAATTCTCCTCTAAAGAACAGACGAGGCCTCCTGGTTGGTTTCAGCCACTTATGCTGATATCTCCGTATCTTCCTCCTCCCTCACTGTTCAAGATGCAGGTTGACTGGAAAGTCTTTTCTAGGTCCAGAGTGAACTCATCTTTAGAGCTCTATAAACTCCCTCCTCTGTATTCAATAAGAAGTGTCAGATTGGCACAGAACTGTTAAGGTGACAGCGAAAGATGATGACGTGGACCAAATCTGGCCTCTTACCTCTGAAAACTGAAGCCTCCCAAAGTCACTGGGAGGACTTGCAATCTTGAAGACTTTCTTTGGCATCACCCATGTCTCCAGGGTCTCGAGCTTGCTCACAGCCAGATTGGTAGCATGATGCTTAATCAGAAAGCCCTGGAAGCGGTCAGCAAGGAAGTAGAGGTGGACAGATGCTGGGTGGCCCATTGAGTAGTACCTGAAAGCACAAGAGCTCGTGGTCAGACCTGTGGCAGGCAGCATCCCAAAGGGGCTCGCCAAAACTGTGAGGCCTGCGCCCCAGATACTCCTCGGTTTGTGTGCGAGCCACATTCTTTTGCATCTGCCTGGAAGCTGCTCCTTACATACCTTTGATCTCAATGACTATGACTAACTTTTTTGCTGAGTTATAAATGTAAAACATGCTGACTATAGAAATGCACAATAAAGAAAATAAAATTACTACTTTTGATGGCTTGTCTCACAAATAACGTCAGTTCACAGGTATTTATTGAGTCCTCTGGTGCCAGGTACCAGGGAGCGACAACAGTGTGCAAATGGTGTCTACGGATGCAATGCCCAGAAGCTCCATTTTCTATGCATACATTTGCATAAATATTACATAGCTTGGATCATAATGTATATAATGGTTATATTCTACTTTTGCTCCATAATATTTCTTGAGCATTTTCCACATTTCTTTGAAACTTCTCTAAAAAAGATTGTGTGTGTGTGTGTGTGTGTGTGTGTGTGTGTGTGTGTGTGTGAGTTCACTGCCATTATGGCATCTGATATATATTTTACAAAGTTCCCTCTCACTGGACAATAAAGGATTTATACTTCTTTGCTCTTCTAAACAATGCTGCATTAAAAAGCTTTGAGCAAGAACACTGTTTTGGAGTGCCTTTTGTTTCTTCTTTAACTTCCAAGGAGCTCTTTAAGTCTGCTGCCTAACTGTCAGAAACACTAATTTATGCAGTCACTGTTCTTACCACCAACATTGTGTCTCTTATTCCAAAATTACTGTTAATCTGAAATATATAACATACACACACACACACCACCACCACCACCACCACCACCACCATTTATAGTTAGCTTGTTCTTTTAAAGATCGTGTCTTGGATCCACAAAGGCCCGCTGGACAGAAGGTCAGAGGAGCTCAGCAGAGATGCCCACAGGAGTGGAGGGAGCAGGGAGCAGAGTGGGGAGAGCCAGGAGCAGCTCAGTGCTTCTTTCCTGCAACTTGCAAAATACAAAGCTGCTGCTTCTACAATGTGTAAATGGCACAGCACTGAGAGGGTTCTCCTGGTCCTTAATAACAGCATCTACAAATCACTGTCCCCACTCAGCTAAGTGCAGGCTTCCCTTCGCTTCTGATCTGGAATTTTAAGTCTTTATTCTCACTTGTAATGGCTAGGGAAGCTGCCTTCCTGGGTTGATGTAGCTTCTGAAATCACTGCCTTGCAACTGGGATACCTCTAGGGTCTCTGCAGATAAAAGCCTGTCTGCACTGGCATCAGAGTGCTGGGCACTTGAGGCTCCAGCCAACACTCTTAGGATGTGGACACTGGGACAGAAAGCCTGGTACTGTGCTGCCTCTATCATAGCAGCTAAGTGTAGACAGGGCTGTCCCATAGCTTTCTGAGATAATGGAAATGATTTATGTCTGTGATGTCTAGTACCAGCCACATGTGTTGGGACCATTGAACACTTGAAATCTGGCTAGTATAACTGAAGGCATGGCATTTTTAATTTTAATTAATTTATGATTAAATAGCCATCTTTGGCTCATGGCACATGTAATGGAAAACATAGACAGAGTCGGCGAGCAACCCGTAGTGAGCAGGTGGATGTACCTAAAGTCTCGCGTCTCCTGCATTCAAGGAACTTTGTAGATGTCCTTGCATTGATGAATCAGAGACTGTTTTCTTACTTTTTGAATATTCTGGGGGCATGCCAGTTCTGAGTCAGGCCTCGAGAAACCTGCATATTTCCATTTGCCATCACACTCTCAGTCCACCCTGGGCATGTAATGGGCTACCCTGCTGGAGGGTGAGATGGTGTGGACAGCCAAGCCACTGCAGTTGTCCCAGCCAGTGCCATCCCAGATCAGCCAGCAGTTCCCAGCCAAGAACAACAGATCTGCCCTCCTGACCTGACCTTAGCCAGCCACGAACGCAGCCCTGAGTCCAGCCTAGACATGGAGACCTAGCCAGCTGACCCACAGACCCGAGTAAATGCTCCAAAACACAGATCAGGAGATGTTTGTTATGCATCGTTGCTATGGCAACCAATAAGAAGTGCTCTGTTGAAGTCTGTGCTACAGAGTGATGGCACTGTGGAGGGTGGAAGAAAATCAAGAGTGCTTGATACCATGGGAGTCAAAAGAAGAAAGTGTTTCCAGAAGGGGGTGGCTAGCTGAGTGCTACTCGAGGTAGCAACTATCAAGTGCATGTGCAGTTCATTTCTTCATCCTCTACTGTGAAATCCTGTCTTCATTTGAATCCATCCTTCAGATATCCGACCAACCCCAAGCCCTGCGAGTGTGTGGGAGAGCTTCTGCTCTGTCCTGTGCCCAGAGGTCCATGCCCAGGCCCACTGCGTGAGAGAGGCCTTTCCCGGCATTCTCCAGAACACCCCACCCACCCCCCGCTGCCTGTCCAGACCCAGTGCAGCCTGCCAGACCCAGCACAGCCTGCCATGAGTGAGAACTTCC